GACCATAGGCGTGGATTTTTTAAAGATTTTTTTCCAAGGACTATCAAGACCATAGGCGTGGATTTTTTAAAGAATTTTTTCCAAGGACTATCAAGACCATAGGCGTGGATTTTTTAAAGAATTTTTTCCAAGGACTATCAAGACCATAGGCGTGGATTTTTTAAAGATTTTTTTCCAAGGACTATCAAGACCATAGGCGTGGATTTTTTAAAGAATTTTTTCCAAGGACTATCAAGACCATAGGCGTGGATTTTTTAAAGAATTTTTTCCAAGGACTATCAAGACCATAGGCGTGGATTTTTTAAAGATTTTTTTCCAAGGACTATCAAGACCATAGGCGTGGATTTTTTAAAGAATTTTTTCCAAGGACTATCAAGACCATAGGCGTGGATTTTTTAAAGAATTTTTTCCAAGGACTATCAAGACCATAGGCGTGGATTTTTTAAAGAATTTTTTCCAAGGACTATCAAGACCATAGGCGTGGATTTTTTTAAGAATTTTTTCCAAGGACTATCAAGACCATAAGCGTGGATTTTTTAAAGAATTTTTTCCAAGGACTATCAAGACCATAGGCGTGGATTTTTAAAGATTTTTTTCCAAGGACTATCAAGACCATAGGCGTGGATTTTTTAAAGAATTTTTTCCAAGGACTATCAAGACCATAGGCGTGGATTTTTTAAAGAATTTTTTCCAAGGACTATCAAGACCATAGGCGTGGATTTTTTAAAGAATTTTTTCCAAGGACTATCAAGACCATAGGCGTGGATTTTTTAAAGAATTTTTTCCAAGGACTATCAAGACCATAGGCGTGGATTTTTTAAAGAATTTTTTCCAAGGACTATCAAGACCATAGGCGTGGATTTTTTAAAGAATTTTTTCAAAGGACTATCAAGACCATAGGCGTGGATTTTTTAAAGAATTTTTTCCAAGGACTATCAAGACCATAGGCGTGGATTTTTTAAAGAATTTTTTCCAAGGACTATCAAGACCATAGGCGTGGATTTTTTAAAGAATTTTTTCCAAGGACTATCAAGACCATAGGCGTGGATTTTTTAAAGAATTTTTTCCAAGGACTATCAAGACCATAGGCGTGGATTTTTAAAGAATTTTTTCCAAGGACTATCAAGACCATAGGCGTGGATTTTTTAAAGAATTTTTTCCAAGGACTATCAAGACCATAGGCGTGGATTTTTAAAGAATTTTTTCCAAGGACTATCAAGACCATAGGCGTGGATTTTTTAAAGAATTTTTTCCAAGGACTATCAAGACCATAGGCGTGGATTTTTTAAAGAATTTTTTCCAAGGACTATCAAGACCATAGGCGTGGATTTTTTAAAGAATTTTTTCCAAGGACTATCAAGACCATAGGCGTGGATTTTTTAAAGAATTTTTTCCAAGGACTATCAAGACCATAGGCGTGGATTTTTTAAAGAATTTTTTCCAAGGACTATCAAGACCATAGGCGTGGATTTTTTAAAGAATTTTTTCCAAGGACTATCAAGACCATAGGCGTGGATTTTTTAAAGAATTTTTTCCAAGGACTATCAAGACCATAGGCGTGGATTTTTTAAAGAATTTTTTCCAAGGACTATCAAGACCATAGGCGTGGATTTTTAAAGAATTTTTTCCAAGGACTATCAAGACCATAGGCGTGGATTTTTTAAAGAATTTTTTCCAAGGACTATCAAGACCATAGGCGTGGATTTTTTAAAGAATTTTTTCCAAGGACTATCAAGACCATAGGCGTGGATTTTTTAAAGAATTTTTTCCAAGGACTATCAAGACCATAGGCGTGGATTTTTTAAAGAATTTTTTCCAAGGACTATCAAGACCATAGGCGTGGATTTTTTAAAGAATTTTTTCCAAGGACTATCAAGACCATAGGCGTGGATTTTTTAAAGAATTTTTTCCAAGGACTATCAAGACCATAGGCGTGGATTTTTAAAGAATTTTTTCCAAGGACTATCAAGACCATAGGCGTGGATTTTTTAAAGAATTTTTTCCAAGGACTATCAAGACCATAGGCGTGGATTTTTTAAAGAATTTTTTCCAAGGACTATCAAGACCATAGGCGTGGATTTTTTAAAGAATTTTTTCCAAGGACTATCAAGACCATAGGCGTGGATTTTTTAAAGAATTTTTTCCAAGGACTATCAAGACCATAGGCGTGGATTTTTTAAAGAATTTTTTCCAAGGACTATCAAGACCATAGGCGTGGATTTTTTAAAGAATTTTTTCCAAAGACTATCAAGGCCATAGGCGTGGATTTTTTTAAGAATTTTTTCCAAGGACTATCAAGACCATAGGCGTGGATTTTTTAAAGAATTTTTTCCAAGGACTATCAAGACCATAGGCGTGGATTTTTTAAAGAATTTTTTTCCAAGGACTATCAAGACCATAGGCGTGGATTTTTTAAAGAATTTTTTCCAAGGACTATCAAAATTTTCTTTAAATATTTTCCAAGGACTATCAAGACCATAAGCGTGGATTTTTTAAAGAATTTTTTCCAAGGACTATCAAAATTTTTCTTTAAATATTTTCCAAGGACTATCAAGACCATAGGCGTGGATTTTTTAAAGAATTTTTTCCAAGGACTATCAAAATTTTTCTTTAAATATTTTCCAAGGACTATCAAGACCATAAGCGTGGATTTTTTAAAGAATTTTTTCCAAGGACTATCAAAATTTTTCTTTAAATATTTTCCAAGGACTATCAAGACCATAGGCGTGGATTTTTAAAGAATTTTTTCCAAGGACTATCAAAATTTTTCTTTAAATATTTTCCAAGGACTATCAAGACCATAGGCGTGGATTTTTAAAGAATTTTTTCCAAGGACTATCAAGACCATAGGCGTGGATTTTTTAAAGAATTTTTTCCAAGGACTATCAAGACCATAGGCGTGGATTTTTTAAAGAATTTTTTCCAAGGACTATCAAGACCATAGGCGTGGATTTTTTAAAGAATTTTTTCCAAGGACTATCAAGACCATAGGCGTGGATTTTTTAAAGAATTTTTTTCCAAGGACTATCAAGACCATAGGCGTGGATTTTTTAAAGAATTTTTTCCAAGGACTATCAAGACCATAGGCGTGGATTTTTAAAGAATTTTTTCCAAGGACTATCAAGACCATAGGCGTGGATTTTTTAAAGAATTTTTTCCAAAGACTATCAAGACCATAGGCGTGGATTTTTTAAAGAATTTTTTCCAAGGACTATCAAGACCATAGGCGTGGATTTTTTAAAGAATTTTTTCCAAGGACTATCAAGACCATAGGCGTGGATTTTTTAAAGAATTTTTTCCAAGGACTATCAAGACCATAGGCGTGGATTTTTTAAAGAATTTTTTCCAAGGACTATCAAGACCATAGGCGTGGATTTTTTAAAGAATTTTTTCCAAGGACTATCAAGACCATAGGCGTGGATTTTTTAAAGAATTTTTCCAAGGACTATCAAGACCATAGGCGTGGATTTTTTAAAGAATTTTTTCCAAGGACTATCAAGACCATAGGCGTGGATTTTTTAAAGAATTTTTTCCAAGGACTATCAAGACCATAGGCGTGGATTTTTTAAAGAATTTTTTCCAAGGACTATCAAGACCATAGGCGTGGATTTTTTAAAGAATTTTTTCCAAGGACTATCAAGACCATAGGCGTGGATTTTTTAAAGAATTTTTTCCAAGGACTATCAAGACCATAGGCGTGGATTTTTTAAAGAATTTTTTCCAAGGACTATCAAGACCATAGGCGTGGATTTTTTAAAGAATTTTTTCCAAGGACTATCAAGACCATAGGCGTGGATTTTTTAAAGAATTTTTTCCAAGGACTATCAAAATTTTTCTTTAAATATTTTCCAAGGACTATCAAGACCATAAGCGTGGATTTTTTAAAGAATTTTTTCCAAGGACTATCAAAATTTTTCTTTAAATATTTTCCAAGGACTATCAAGACCATAAGCGTGGATTTTTTAAAGAATTTTTTCCAAGGACTATCAAAATTTTTCTTTGAATATTTTCCAAGGACTATCAAGACCATAAGCGTGGATTTTTTAAAGAATTTTTTCCAAGGACTATCAAAATTTTTCTTTAAATATTTTCCAAGGACTATCAAGACCATAATCGTGGATTTTTTAAAGAATTTTTTCCAAGGACTGTCAGGATTTTTTTTAAAAAATATTTTCCAAGGACTATCAAGACTATAAGCGTGGATTTTGTAAAGAATATTTTCCAAGGACTGTCAGGATTTTTTTTAAAAATATTTTCCAAGGACTATCAAGACCATAAGCGTGGATTTTTTAAAGGATAGTTTCCAAGGACTGTCAGGATTTTTTTTAAAAAATATTTTCCAAGGACTATCAAGACCATAAGCGTGGATTTTTTAAAGAATAGTTTCCAAGGACTGTCAGGATTTTTTTAAATATTTTCCAAGGACTATCAAGACCATAAGCGTGGATTTTTTAAAGAATATTTTCCAAGGACTGTCAGGATCTTTTTTTAAATATTTTCCAAGGACTATCTGCCACATAAGCGTGGATTTTTTAAAGAATGTTTTCCAAGGACTGTCAGGATTTTTTTTTTAATATTTTCCAAGGACTATCAAGATCATAAGCGTGGATTTTTTAAAGAATATTTTCCAAGGACTGTCAGGATTTTTTTTTTAATATTTTCCAAGGACTATCAAGATCATAAGCGTGGATTTTTTAAAGAATATTTTCCAAGGACTGTCAGGATATTTTTTTAAATATTTTCCAAGGACTATCTGCCACATAAGCGTGGATTTTTTAAAGAATGTTTTCCAAGGAATATCAGCATTTAAAAAAAATATTTTTCAGGGGCCATCAGGATTTTTTTTAAATATTTTTTCTAGAAAAAAAATTAAAATATAACCAATTTATTTTTCAATATTTTCCATAAAAATCGTTATTTAATTTTCATTTATTTTATCAAATTTATTTCACCATCAATACCTGTGTCCGAGAACAGCATTAAAGATGTCAATTAAACAGGTGTTTCTCATTCTGTTTCCAGGGGAGTTCCCAGCAGCAATGCAGCGCGCGGTACAAGCTCATCGTCTAATGTCTCGATATCATTATATCTTAGTGTACCTGTCCATGTATTGGTGTACCTTAGCGTTTGTCAGGCACTACACAAGGCTACCGCCGGCAGCTATCGGCACTGGTGCCGGCTCTGCTGTGATCATGTGATAGAAAATCTAAAACGGCTATTAGGTGTGGTGCTGCTGACATTGGCCTATGGCCGCCGGAGGCTGGCCACACAGCGGCCGGAGGAGAGGCAAGAAAGACAGAAACAACAGCAGATATGGCAAAATATGGATGCTCTGGGAGTGGAGACGAGAGGAGGTGGAGCGGAGACATGTTGCTGTTATTGCATGCAGTTGCGAGAGAATTCTGTTATACCAACAACAACACCTACAACAACTACATTTAAATCTAGTCTCAATAAAACAAGTAATTTATTTAAGAATGTCAGGCCCACAGTTACTTCTTCGGGTCATAGAGGAGGAGGAGAGCGGGAAAAAGGAGGTGGTGGAAAAGGAAGAGTAGCTGAGCAGTGCACAAGTTTGCTGCCCAATTTTTGTGGATTGTGTAATGGAGGCTTCTCCTGCAGTTATGGTTATTGTTGTTATTGCAATTGTTGTTGTTGTGGCTGTTGTAGTTTGGTCTCGATGGACAATTGCAATTTGGCATCATTTTCCTGTTACTGCTGTAGCATCCAAACCAAAAATCTCGGCAGCCTACAATCGAAAAAATTCCTTAGCGAATCGGATATAAGGTGAGTTCACTCCTGCCACACCACAAAACGATGACATTTAAATATTCCTCGCGTAAAGCCCTAATTTTTTATACTACAAAAAAAAAAAAAAAAAAAAAAAACAACAACAACTAAATTGTGACTCTAGTATTACTAACTAAAAACAAGGTTGGTGTGGGAGAGGAAGGGGTAAACTCTCTCTTTCTCTCTCCATGCCAGCAAATACACATTCACCTACACTCTCACACACTCACACATCTACTAATAACCAATGAAATCAATCTTAGCTCATATGAGAGAAAAAAAGCGATTTAAAATCAAGCAAAAATAAGGACGAAATAAACAAAAGGATATCTGCAAAGAAGATGAAGAAGAAACGAAGAAATATTACTCTAGCTCTACCTATAATTAAAAAAATAACTATTTTTAAGAAAAAAAAAAAACAAAAAAAGGAAAATGGAAAAAACTCAACCCTCAAAAAAAATGTCTACAAAGACCACACACACATACTCATATAAACAAAAATAAAAAAATCTCGTAAATGTTATGTTTTTATGTTTTTTTTATTGTACAATTCGTATACCCCCCTTTTTTATATGGCTTAACAATAAAACTGTTTAAACAAAACACTTAAATATAGAATCAGGAAAAAAAACTCAAACCGAAAAAAATTCTAACCTATAAATAAACCAAAAACAACAAATCTAGGACATGAATAAAAAACAACAAATGCTATAAATAAATAGGTTATACATATTACATACAGACATGTAACGACAACAACAACTACTACTATAATACTCTTCTATGTAAAAAGATTGTTTTTGATACATACAAACAAAAGCTGACAACCAGAGAAATTAACTAATTGACTTTAAGGACACACAAATAAACACCCATACATCCATACAAATTTACACAGAAATTAAACAAACAATTTTTTGTTTTGAGTTTTGCCTTGTTAAGGTTTTTTGATTCTTTCACTGCCAGATTTAAGCATTTTTTTTTGGTTGGCCGATATCCTCACAAAAGGATGATGGAGATAGGATAGAACACTTGTTTTAAAAAAGGTTGAATAAAATGCATTTTCTTTGAAAATAAAATTCATTGAAAGGTAAATATAAACATTTTTCGGAATGGCGCCCAACGTGAAATAACGTTTTTTTTTTTGTGAGAAAGCGATCCTCAGATGGGTGGAATAGGGTTATTCATAGAAAAGCTCTTATTTAACCTTCTTGTATATTCATCGGGAGTTCAATAATACAGGTCTCAGACTGGCGGAATAAAATTATCCACAGAAAAACTGCCAGATTTAAGCATTTTTTCGGTTGGCTGTTATCCCCACAAAAGGATGAAGGACAAATGATAGAGCATTTGTTGTGGAAATAGGACGAATTTAATATTTTTTCTTTGAAAATAAAATTCAATGAAAAGTAAATATATAAATTTTTTGAAATGGCGCCCAACGTGATATAGGCTAATTGTAAGGAAATTGGGTCTCAGGCGAGCGGAATAAAGTTATTGATATAGAAAAACTCTTTGTTTAACCCTGATGTACATACCTTGGGAGTTAAGTAATACATTTTATCAAGTGGCGCCCAACGTAAAATCAGTTGTTTAAAAAAAAACTGATCTTATTTTGTGAGAAATCGATCCTCAGATGGGCGGAATAGAGTTATTGATAGAGAAAAACTCTTTATTTAGCCCTACTCTATATTTATTGGGAGTTATAGAATACATTTTATCAAGTGGCGCCCAACGTAAGATAAATTGTTTTTAAAAAAACCTGGTATTAGATGGGCGGAACAGAGTTAGTCATGGAAAACTGACAGATTTTATTTTTCATTTATTGAAATGTAAATATAACAATTTTTTGATATGGCGCCCAACGTGAAATATGGTTATTTTTGGTAAACCTGTTCTCAGAGTGGCGGAATAGAGTTATTGATAGAGAAAAACTCTTTGTTTAACCCTGCTGTATATTCATTGGGGGTTAAATAATAAATTTTATCAAATGGCGACCAACGTAAAATATGTTGTTTTTAAACAACCTCGTCTCAGACGGGCGGAATAGTGTTATCCATAGAAAAATTGACAGATTTAAGCATTTTTCGGTTGGCTGTTATCCCCACAAAAGGATGAAGGACAAAGGATAGAGCATTTGTTGTGGAAATAGGACGAATTTAATGTTTTTTCTTTGAAAATAAAATTCATTGAAACGTAAATATAACAATTTTTTGAAATGGCGCCCAACGTGAAATAACGTTTTTTGTGAGAAACCGATCCTCAGATGGGTGGAATAGAGTTATTGATAGGACAAACTCTTTGTTTAACCCTGCAGTATTTTCATTGGGAGTTAAATAATAAATTTTTTTAAATGGCGCCCAACGTAAAATAATTTTTTTAAAAAAACCCTGCTCTTATTTATTGATAGAGAAGAACTCTTTATTTAACCCTGCTGTGTATTCATTTGGAGTTAAATAATACATTTCATCAAGTGGCGCCCAACGTAAAATATATTGTGTTTTTTAAAAATCATGTCTCAGACGGGCGGAATAGAGTTATCCATAGAAAAACTGACAGATTTAAGCATTTTTTGTTTGGTGATATCGCCACAGAAGGAGGAAGGATAAGGGATATAGCATTTTTTTTTGACATAGAACAAAATTTAATCTTTTTTCTTTGAAAATAAAATTCATTGAAAAGTAAATATAATTTTTTTCGGAATGGCGCCCACATGAAATAACGTTATTTTGTGAGAAACCGATCCTCAGATGGGCGGAATAAAGTTATTTATGGAAAAACTCTTGTATAGCCCTGATGTATATTTATTGGGAGTTAAATAATAAATTTTATCAAGTGGCGCCCAACGTAAAATAAGATTTTTTCTAAAAAACCTGGTCTCAGATGGGCGGAATAGTGTTATTCATGGAAAACTGACAGATTTAAGCAATACCAAATATAGCGGAAATGGAAATTTAACAATTTTTTGAAATGGCGCCCAACGTAAAATAGGGTTATTTTAAGAAAACTGGGTCTCCGACGAACATCATAGAAAATCTCTTGTTTAACACTGCTGTGTATTCATTGGGAGTTAAATTATAAATTTTATCAAATGGCGCCCAACGTAAAATATGTTGTTTTAAAAAAATCATGTCTCAAACGGGCGGAATAGAGTTCTCCATAGAAAAACTGCCAGATTTAAGCATTTTTTCGGTTGGCTGTTATCCCCACAAAAGGATGAAAGACAAAGGATAGAGCATTTGTTGTGGAAATAGGACGAATTTATTGTTTTTTTCTTTGAAAATAAAATTCATTGAAAAGTAATTATAAAAAATTTTCGGAATGGCGCCCAACGTGAAATAACGTTATTTTGTGAGAAACCGATCCTCAGATGGGCGGAATAGATTTATTGATAGAGAAAAACTCTTTGTTTTGTTTTATTCATTGGAAGTTAAATAATAAATTTCATCAAATGGCGCCCAACGTAAAATATGTTGTATTTTAAAAAAATCATATCTCAGACGGGCGGAATCAACATATCCATTGAAAAAATGCCAGATTTAACCACAGAAGGCTTAAGGGTATAGATTTTTTTTTTGAAATAGAACGAATTTAATGTTTTTTCTTTGAAAACAAAATTCATTGTTTTTTTTGAAATGGCGCCCAACGTGAAATATGGCTATTTTGTGAGAAACCGGCTTATAGACGGACTTCCACACCTAAAAAAGGACTGTTTTATAGAAAACACGGTCGCATGTGGCGCAGAATGGAGTTATTGATAGAAAAACTCTTATTTAAAAATTCTATCAAATATTCCACAGATGGAGTAAGACCATTTGACCATTCATCCTATTTTGAAATAGGATGAATTTCATGTAGTTTCAGTGAATATGATTTATTAATTAAAAAGAAAGTATAATAATTTGAAATGGCGCCCAACGTAAAATGAGGTTATTTTATGAGAAAACTGGTCTCAGATGGATGGAAGAGGGTTATCCATCCATCCGCGTATAGTAATTTTTTTATGAAAACCAGATTTCAGACGGGAGGAATAGAGTTATCCAGGTCTCAGACGTGGGGAATAGAGTTTTCTATTGGAAAAATCCGGTTATTAATTTACAAGAAGTGTTTTTTTTTAGAAAACTTGTTCTCAGATGTGCGGAATAGAGTTATCCATGGGAAAACGTCTATTTGACTCCTCCTTATATTCATAAGGGGTTAAATAATAAATTCTGTCAAATGGCGCCCAACGTGAAATATGGTAATTTTATAAAAAATCCTGTTTAATACTTTTGTAGGAGTAGTCTTAAGGAGTTAAGTAATAAATGCTATCAAATGGCGCCCAACGTATTTTTTTTTAATATAGGGAACATTATTTCAGTCGCTCGGAATATATTTTCCACAGCATCCAACCCATAGGAAAACTTTCATTCATCCTAAGTGGGATTTCATTGGGAGATAAATAATAAATTATATCAAATGTCCCACATAAGGAATAATCGGATTCTCAAAAAAAGTAAATATAACACTTTTTTGAAATGAAAGGATAATGGTAAAAGGAAAGGATAAGGGTAAAAGGTTAAATATTGTTATGATAATTAAATTCATTGAAAAGTAAATATAATATTAAGTGGCGCCCAACGTGGAAATGAAACCGGGACTCACATGGGTGGAATAGAGTTATCCATTGGAAAACTTCTATTTAAACCTGCTGTATTTTCATAAGGAATTATATAATAAATTCTATCGAATGGCGCCCAACGTGAAATATTTTTTTTAGGGAAAACAAGGTTCCCACAGCGGGGAATATAGTTTCCATGGAGAAATGACTTTAGTATTCAGCCCAGTTGAGTGGGATTTCGATAGGAAAACTTTAATTCTACTCTGCTGAATATTCAATTGTTTATAGAAAACAGGATCCCAGACGGGTGGAAGATTGTTATCCATAGGAACAGCAATGCTGATTATTCAATGAGAGTTAAATAATAAATTCTAAAAAATGGCGCCCAACGTAAAATAAGTGTTTTTTTAGAAAACTGGGTCTAAGACTGGCGGAGTATATTTCCATAGGGAAATTATTTTAGTATTCAGCCAAAGTGGGATTGAGTGGGATTTCCATTAGAAA